AGAAACTGGCTGAGGTTTTAAAATTTAAAAGGGAAATACAAATGACAAACCAAGAAAGTGAAGTGGATAATTTTTTCCTACTTGATTTATAAAAGAGGCTTGTTAAAGTCTTGAAGAACTCGATGTGATGGGACAAAGAATTAATGAAGAGAAATCAAATCCTATGACAATATTTGAATGAATTAAAGATTAAGACTGTTAGAAGTAAAAGGAAGGAATATAAATGTTTATTTGATCAAAGTTAAAACAAGATACGTTGTTACTTCTGGCAACCTTTTATGGACTTTCTGCTGACACCAGGATTGAACAGATGATGTTTTATGGATTTGTTTATAGATAAAAGATGGGATATGAGATGAAGAGATAAATGTTTGTAACCTTAGAGGGGGTGATGAGTCACTAAGTTTGTTTATACTTGTTGTGATAAAGGTTGGAAGGCACTTCTTTATATATTTATTTATTCTTTCTTTATTATATTCTTACTTTTCTCTTTCTTCCCTCTCTTTTTTTTTCTTGCACTTTTTACTCCTTTCTATTCTCTTTTCTTTCTTTAATTTTAGTTTGTATTGATTTTACTATAATCAAAATTATCCATAAAATTATATTAAAAAAAACAAAATGAAAGTGATTTGCCACTGTCTTCCATTATATTTTTTCAGCTTCTTTGGCTAGTTTACGGCCCTAGGATTTTCTGTGGTTTCCTGTAAAATACAAACTAGATCCATCCCTGTTTAGCTTTAGGGGATCTGCCAAGATTAGCTAGATGTTGCCATCTGTACTGTATCTTAAATACAGTAACTTACATACTGCATTTAACAGTGTGAGTGTTCATGGTGTAGGTGAAGTGCTTCACCATTAATAGAATCTGCAACTGAAAGAATCCTTTGGTAGAACAGCTAAAATAAAGCACTGATCTGATAGTGTTTTGAACCAGCTGACTGTTTAACACAGGAATAAAATGTTCAGAACATTATGGAATGTTTTGTTTATTAACATATTATAAATGTGTAAAGTAAATGAACTTCTCAAGGTATCTTCCTTCCTTCCTTCCTTCCTTCCTTCCTTCCTTCCTTCCTTCCTTCCTTCCTTCCTTCCTTCCTTCCTTCCTTCCTTCCTTCCTTCCTTCCTTCCTTCCTTCCTTCCTTCCTTCCTTCCTTCCTTCCTTCCTTCCTTCCTTCCTTCCTTCCTTCCTTCCTTCCTTCCTTCCTTCCTTCCTTCCTTCCTTTTCTAGCACAATAGATAAGATTCTTAGTACTACATTTGAAATGTAGTCTTAAAATATAAATTTGTTCTTTTCCAGTAAAGAGAAAATACATGTCTTTAAATCTTCAATGTGACTGTGGATATCCCTACATTTAATTGTCCAAAAACTGACTCTACTCATAGATTTAATCCAATATTCTTTATTGCTTGTTGTTCATTTTATTCATTGTCATTCCAAGTGCTAGGTTTATAGGAAATTTCCATTTTGAACATAAATTAAATGTCTGATAGAACTACTTGAGTCTTGGCTACTTCCCCTATAAATATCTCTGGTTTTATACTATTTTGTTCCAGTTTAAATCTTATAGCATTGCTTCATTCATTAACCCATTTTTAGCATTTCTTAAAAGCCTGACAGCTGCATTCTTTTATGTTAATGTATAAATAGATTACTGATTAATAATGAATTAAGAAATTATATGGGGTACTTCACTTGCTACCCAGTTTCCTGTAGAACAGTTCTAGTCACAGCATATAGTTTGTATATAGTCCCATGAATTTTGTGAAGTTGCTGCAGTGGATAATGTCATGGGATTTAGTCTTTAAAGCTAAAACTGCAAATAAGAAATGATGCAAAAATGGATTCCTCTGTGAATCCTGCTTCCCTCCCACTGCTTCTTTGACCCATTGTGTCTTGCGCGCTCCACCTCATTAAAATTCTGATATAATAGGCTTTTATTTCCTGTTAACTATTTCCTAGCCCTACTGGCTGTTCACAAAAGGTAAACCACTCAGGACATGTATGGAACACTATCAAGCAATCCCAGTGGCAAACCTCTATCATACTGTTCTCATGAAAACTACACAGATACATCCATGTAGCTGCCAGAAGTCGAGCTCTTCTTCAAGTAGACTTAATTTATAACTTACCTTGTTGTATGGAGAGAAGAAAGATTATGTGTAAGAGAGAAATAAGTATATCAGATCTGAAATCTCAGGGGAAGAAATAAAGATACCACCTTATTTCAGATTAGGTTCAGCCCGCCTTCTATACTGTCTTAAAGATGGTAGAAGGAGAAAAACATTGGCAACTGGAGGCCAAGGCTGATAGTTTTCGATTTTGGAATCACACCTTATCTTAAAAATGCTTCCAGGCAGAGCTCCAAGCACTGGCAATGACATGATATTGGGTTACAATTCCATTTTTTCCTCAGTGGATTTTTGGTGATAAGAAAAAAGATAGAAGAAATTGTGGGCAAACATGTAAAGGTTACAAACAATAGACCATGAGATTTAGCCTCTCCCCACAATAAAGTTCCAGGAATTAGGTAGGATGACTGCACAAGAAAAAATGCCTGGAAGCATACCAGATAGTAGGTTTGAACATGTTCAGTGTTTTCCTCCAGTGCAAGAAAGAAAGCAATAACAACATGATGCTTACATTCATTCATTACTGTCATTAAGATCCTTATTTTGGAACCATCTTTTCTGCAGAGGTTAAAATTATATTATTTGTGATCCACTAAGCAACTAGTAATGTGGATTGAAATAAATTAGTCTATGTAAGCATAGCCAGACTTTTAAAATCATTACAATCCTCCTCTTCCACCTCCTTCTATTTTTTTCTTCTCAAGAAAGTGGTGCCATACTATTCTGCATTTTAGCCCTTTTTTTTTTCACTTCTCAGCTCCAGCCAGAATTTTGACATTCAGTGGCACAGTAACGACCCCATGGATGAAGGATATTATTCTCCCTTGTAAAGCTGTTGGAGACCCTGCACCTACAGTCAAATGGATGAAAGAAAGGTAACCAACAACTATGTGCGCAGTGCAAATGAAGGTTGTTATGTCACTGGGTGTGTGGAAAAAGGAAGAGAGGGATTGTTATTAGGGCAATGCATGCTTTGAAACTGATCGAGAGGCAATATTTCAGATCTCCTATGAATATGAGCACATCCCCTCTCTGCTGTTCATTAAAACAGCCCTTCTCCTTTCAAGCTTCTGCATGAGTCTGAAAAAGAAAGGCATGGATGCTTTAAGAGTAGCATTACTTTTAATAAATCAACTCCTAAAAGAAGCAGCATCTTTTTTCAAGCTCCCACACAAGTCTGAAAGAAGGCAGGGAGAACGGCAGAATGGGGCAGTGCTTGCACAAAGTTCAAAGTACATCTTCTGAGTCATTTCCTGAGTCCTTGTTATCTGCTCTCAGGCACTCCCAACCATAGACTTGATTAATTTTACCCCATAGTCTGCCTAATCTGAGATTACTTCAGCTATTTATCACTTCTCTTGGTAGAATTTAATTCAGCATATAGTAGACACAAGATCTCGTCAAGCAGTTTTAGCATTAAGAATACCTAGCTTTAATTTACAATCTGTGTATTTTTGCAGATGCTCATAGTTCCCCCAAGCATTAAAAAAAAAACCTCTCCTGTTCCTGAGTAGCTATGTTTCAGCTAATCCTCATTGCCAGGCATTTTCCAAAGCTCTTTTATAGATTAGTCTATTAGGCTGGTTTTGTTTCTAGGGTCTTTTTTCACATTTTTTTTCTATTTAATTAAATGATTCATCACTCAGTCAGATCGTACTGTATTCTGTAATTGAAGTCGTTACAACTATAAACCAACACCATGCTAAGGATAATCTATTACATATAAATACAGAAAGGGTATAAGGAAAATTATGAGATTGTTTTCTCCAACTTTTTCTCCAAATCAGATCCCTTTTGTTCCCATGTATACTGCAGTTAACCAATGGATTTAATCCTTGAGATTAAAAAATAGTGCATCAACATTATAGTAATATAAACAAAGCAACAAAGATTTCTCTAAAGTCAACACTGTTTCTGGTCTTCATCTGTTTATTAAAGAATGCTGTAATGTAGACTTCAACCAGCAGATGGCATTAAGATGGTTTCTTTAGTTTCCTCTGATCTCTGCATATTACAGCAGAGGGCAACTGCAAAACCAGATTCTCTCAAGCTATTCTGTTTAAATACGGTGGTGGTTTCAGCCAGGACACATAAGGACACTTACTTGAGATTCGTTCAATTGCAGCATAAAACCTCTGCAACAAGGCTTAGCCAACCAAGTAGTCAGCCAGGCTGCTAACTAGCTACTTGTTAAATTTCTCCTCTGAGGAAAAGGCAAAGGCCTGGCAGGCTTAGGTGGGACAGGCAGCTCATGATCTGCAACAGCAAACCTGACCTGCTCATCTCCATGCTCACGCCGCCTGTCCTCCCTGATAGCTGCCTTTTCTACAGCCATGGCTTTCACTGGCATGTGTGCTGCAGGGGCTGCAGCTGCTGGTCTGGTTCCGGCTAGGCAAGATATAGGACAAGAGTACCTTGGCCCAGCCAAGCTGGGGGAGGAGAAGCCAGGGCATAACCAGCTGATTTATTTAACCCTCTGCATTCAGCCTAAGAATGGTTCATCTCTTACACTGAAAGCAGCAAATAGACCCAGCAACTCCTCAGCTCTTCAGCTTTCTCAGTGATTTCCTGCCTCAATCTCATTTCCTGGGGGGACCTGTGCTTCCTTTTATTTATTTATTTCCCTTATCTGTATGAGAAGATACTTAATTTGTATGTTGCCCATTCCCAAAAAGGCTCAGGGTGGCTACAGTGCCTTAACCAGCCATGATGGGCAGAGATCGAACTAGGAAGTGGCAGAATTGATATTGCAGAGTACTCTATCCACTTCCTTGGAACTCACAGTCTCAAAATGACCCCATCTCACACTATGACATTGGCATTGTCCAGAGAAAGTCTAGCTCCTCTCAAAATTAAGTGGTTTTGTATGCCAAATGCTTTGAAAATGCTTCTTCACAGAGGCCCTTCAGTTAGTCTTGGCAAACATCCTTTCCTAAAAGGTAAAAAGGGTGCCTTAAAAGGGCCCCTGGGTAACATTCAGCAGATGCAAAAGAGTGGCAAACTATCTCCTTTTTGCCACTTGAATTGCCACTATGTAGGCTCAAATGTGATTTTGTACCAGGGTCTGGTCAGACTCGAGGCAGGTTTTCTTTCACAGGTACTCCAGGGGGTCTCCTCTGCTCCTTCATCTTCTTGAGCTTCTCAGAGAACAAGGAGCTGCAATGGATCTAGAAGTAGGGATTGGGTGCTTTGTTATAATCTGGTCCCCTTTATTATTTAACAAAGGAATAAACCACTCCTTTATTCCAGTGGTTGACCACAGTCTCAGCCAAACTGCCCATAAGAATCTTCGGAGACTTCCCAGAGCCCCCTGAAAACCATAGGCTCTGTCAGGTGCCTTGGGTGGACCAATATAATATCTCCTCCCCACTGTGGAGGGAGATCACTCCACAACAATCAGAGAGGGATCTCTCCATGATAAGGGGCAAAGTTCACTGCCCCCGCCCCCCCACTTTCAAATCACATTGTATCTCCCCTGAGAGAAAAACCCCTAGTGTATGACCTCTCATGTGTGTCGGGCCGTCAGTAAGTTGGGACGTGTCCATGATTGTCA